CCCCACCCCCGCACACTGAAATGCACGGGACAGAAGCAGAAGGTGGTTCTCAAAGAGACAGAGGCCAATTTCAAGGTGTTTAGAAGAGGAAGTGATGAGAAGATAAGTTTATTTTCTATTTGAACTTAAAAACAGCATTTTAATAACAACTAAAGGTGACATAGATAATTTATTATGGTATAGTATTTAAATATATGCCTGAGAAACACATAATATTGGCCCTTTAAGACAATATGGATCAGATCCTAAATGTACGTGTTTTTTTTTCCAAAATATCTCGTCTGTGCAGGCCCATTTAGAGCATTAGAGTACTCGCTGTGATCATTTCACTGTTTTGAACCGGAGCAAATCACGTCCTGTGCCCCATCTGAATTTCACCTGTCATCCAGGTCACATGACTGCAACCCAGCAATAGATGAAATCTAAAATTAACCTGAAGAAAATATCCCACAAACATCAATCTCAGCTCAGACTTTGTATCTTTTTCTGTTTGAGGTAAACTTCCAGGATCTGACAGTGTTTTAATAAGGACTCTTCAAGGCTCTGAACCTCTTGTGGCRGCATTTTTTCACAGCTGAATTCACCCTGTGTCCGTCAGTTCATGGTCACAGACCTGAGTGAAAACTGTGAGCTGCTCAGAGGCTGCTGTGGATGCCAATGAGTATCTTATTAGGCTGGAGGCGAAACTCAATCAAAGGTGAGGCGACAGTGGTGGGAGCGTACTTTGGTTAAGGACGAGAGGCGGAATCCCTTGGCCTTTTCCTTCCCGGCGTTCTCATTGAGGTAATTGCCGATAGCGAGGAGGTACTCCAGCACGGAAACAAATGACCTGCAGTTGTAGAGCTGCTGGCACAGTCGGATTTTCTGATTAATCAGCTGGAAGACAAACAGAAAACACAAAGCAAAGTCATTTTCTTGTGTTATTCAACCTCACAGGAACTCCTTCATGTCAACAGCAACAAAACAATTTCATATTTTTAAGCTGAAAACAGAAACAGCACCTCGTTTGACCTCAAACAGTGAATAATAAATATTCTGTTAAAAAAGGTTTTTAGCAATATTTGTTATGCAATTGTGTCAACAACAGARACACAATTGAAGGGATAGAGCAAGGGATATCTGCAGATATCCCTGCAGAATATCACACAGCCTCCACGTTCTACCATCTCTGAGCAGATCCTGTTGAATATGGATTAAAACCAGGCTGGAGAAGCACCAAAGTGGGATTTTAGGTTTTATCAAATGTCTACTGGAGGAAAGAGGAGTTGGTGCTTTGGGGAATTGCTYTATTTGAAATAGTTATCTTTTCCAAATGAGCTTCATGCCAGCCAGCAACAACAATCCCACCATATGTTGCTGTTTTAGGAATAAACCTCCCCSAGCCGACAAGTGGGACAGCCTCAATTAAACCAAGGAGGAAGCAGACATCCAGCTTTATCACACAAACTGGCTCTGCTCAGGACCATCTGCACTGCTGAGGAAAACCAGTTCAGCCTGCATCAAACAGAAATAAGTCCAACAAAACAAAATGCAATATTCTTTAGTCTTGTTTTCACACACACACACACACACACACACACACACACACACACACACACACAC